GCTGGCTGTTTAAGATCAAAGCAGCTGCCCCCCCTTCCTTCTGCAGCCTGGGGGGGGAGCCCTAGTCCTGAGGGGGGCTGTCCATGGTACCTCCCTGGGCATGTGAGTTCATATGTGTGAGTGTGTGCATATATGTGTGTGCGTGCATATGCATATAGCGTGTGTGCACGTGTGAGTGTGTATATATGTGTGCGCATATGTATGTAACATGTGTGTGCATAGGTGTGCCCCCCCTTCCTTCTGCAGCCTGGGGGGGGAGCCCTAGTCCTGAGGGGGGCTGTCCATGGTACCTCCCTGGGCATGTGAGTTCATATGTGTGAGTGTGTGCATATATGTGTGTGCGTGCATATGCATATAGCGTGTGTGCACGTGTGAGTGTGTATATATGTGTGCGCATATGTATGTAACATGTGTGTGCATAGGTGGGTGCGCACATGTGCATATGGTGTGTGCATACTTGTATATGTGTGTGTGTTACTACATACACACATGTGTGGCTGTGTACGCGTGTGTGCATGTGTGTGCATGTGTCTGTGTTGGGGTAGAGACCAGGGACACCTCTAGATCCTACCTGGGCTTCTCCGGGGGTCCCCCCACAGCAGGCTTATTTGCTGACCGGGCTGGGGGGTACAGCAGGCTCCCCCCCAGCTCCCCTGACACCCCTTCTCTTCCTGCTCCTCCCCCGGGTCCTCTGTGGCCCGAGTCACGCACCTTCGTGGACGGTTTACTTCTCTCCCGGCCTGCTCTGCACCCGCCCCCCGCTCTCCCCCTGCCACAGCCCCTTTAAGTCCCAGGAATATGTCATCCGGGCCAGTGCCTGGGCCCGTGGGAGACAAGTGCTGGCTGCTGCCAGGGTGGGGTTGGGACAGGAGGTCGTGGGGCCCCGCGGAGGCCCTGAACACCCTCTTCCTCTCCTGCCTCAGGATGGGGAGATGGTCCCCTACAGCTCCGAGAGCCACGCCAAGCGCAGCGTACGGCGGCTGGGCAAACACTACCACTTCCAGATCCAGGACCTGTGGCCGGAGGACGCCGGCCTCTACCAGGTCAAGGTGGAGGACGCGGAGGTCTTCTCCACGGAGCTAGAGGCCAGCGGTGAGCGGGCCCTGCGGGAGCCGGGGCGGGCGAGTCTGGGGGGCCATGGCGGCGCTACGGGTTGGGGAGCGGAACATGACCATGACCGCAGGGCGGGGACAACACATCCAAGGTCGGTATTCTCTCTTTCTCTCTCTCTCTCTCTCTCTCTCTCTCTCTCTTTTAATAAAATTTTTAAAATATATTTTATTGATTTTTTACAGAGAGGAAAGGAGAGAGATAGAGAGTTAGAAACATCGATGAGAGAGAAACATCGATCAGCTGCCTCCTGCACACTCCCTACTGGGGATGTGCCCGCAACCAAGGTACATGCCCTTGACCGGAATCGAACCTGGGACCCTTCGGTCCGCAGGCCGACGCTCTATCCACTGAGCCAAACCGGTTTTGGCTAATAAATTTTTATTGATTTCAGAGAGGAAGGGAAAGGGAGAGAGAGAGAGAACCATCACTGATGAGAGAGAATCATTGACAAGCTGCCTCCTGCACGCCCTACACTGGGGATCGAGCCCGCCACCCGGGCCTGTGCCCTGACCGGGAATCAAACCTGGGACCCTCCAGTGTGCAGGCCGATGCTCTAGCCACTGACCCACACTGGCTAGGGCCCGTCTTTCTGTTCACAGGCTAATGGGATCCCCTCTGACCCACACGGGGGTGCCAGGGGACCCTCTGAGGTGACGTGTGTGTGTGCGTGTGTGTGTGCGTGTGTGTGTGTGTGTGTGTGTGTGGCTGAGCTGGCCTGAGCCGCCTGGG